TGCGATTGCCAACCCGCCTGCCAAACGTGGTAACTAAACTAAAGTTAAGCAGTGGACAATTAACGACTGATGTGAAGAACATAATAGTAGTACGACTATTGTATTATTTATGTGAGGGTGGTTCTCGTCTTAATTATGCACAAAGGAATCTGACGAGGCTATTTGTCAATCTCTTACCAGAGTGGTAGGAGGTTGACAAGTAGGGGATTGGGTAAGGAGTAAGGTAAGGTAAGTTCTGAAGGTTTAAGCTAAAATTTGGGTTAATTTGTATTTTGATACGCCATCTAAAAGTGATGTATGTCATTGGTGGGAAATCCAGGCATACAAAGTTGCGGGCAGAAGATAATTTGTAGATAATATTGCCACTGATATCGGCATTTGCTTAATTTCTACATTCTGTTTTGAATGCAACGGCTGGGATTGCACTTACAGACTGACGTCAGCCGGTCACGTTCAACCGGCTCGGTACGTGACGTTGTTTATCCGGATTATACTAATTCTGGGTGGAGGTAACCAGATAAAACTGGTTATTTCATGTACAGTTTGAAACAGATTGCCATGAGCACAACTCTGTTTTAGAATTGGAGACATTAGTAGGTAGGCTCATTTCATACTGTACAAAATTCTAATTGGATTGTAATTATGACAACCTTCTCTGTCATACTCGAGAATGGGTACTTGTAGATACTCCTCTGCTCTAGTAATCTAACGACAGTGTTGCCAGATTGGGTATTTTTTCCGCAATCTTGGGTAAATATTTTTTTATATGCAAAACTTTAGAACAATTAAATTTTTGGAGAAATTTTTAAACAAAAGTGAAAAAGGAGCTTGAAGAAATTTGGGTTTTATTTGAAAATTTTTGATTAACAGATTTAGTACTTGTAAACTCTGTATATATAAGACAACTCTAGTAAAATATATACCCTGAAAATATCATTTTTCATCAGGTGAGCCGTCAAAATGCTGTACTAAGTTGCATAAAAAGTTACCAGAACCATCCCAGAGCATCATGTATGTGCGCGCGTACGTAACAGACTGTACGTTAGTTAATTTGACGACAGAACAAATTGATCGTCACGCCCCACAGCGGCGGTACACCGTAACGACATTATCGCGAGAGTTGCGGTCGCGTCTAATTCGCTCAATTCAGCCGCCCCACCGCACCGCCAGCAATATCAACCTCGGGCCATCAGACATTTGGAAAATTTCAAATGTTTTAAACACAACTTTTTGTCCATGATGAATACTGTTGCTTTTTTGCTGATAACGAATTTGTATTTGCTTTATTTTAATAGAATTTGAATTTTGTTTACATTATTTTGATGGATTACGGCATTTTTATTATTGCAAGCGGCTCGTTATGTTCTCTCAAACTACTGTCACTAATAAAATCCCGTGGTTTTCTCCCACACAAATTGTAATTAAATTCAAATCATTTTTATTAAAATAGACTTAATTACATTAAATTACAAGCTCTTTTAAATCATCTTTTATTATTTTACTGCTGGATTCAGGATTTTGTTATCTGTTGAGAAGAATCCGCAGGAAACTTAACAATTTCTCTATTAAATAAAATAATTTTAACAAAGTTTTATGTGTATTTATTAAATGTACTATGTCTAAAATAACATGGTCATTTAAAAGCCCATGCATGATTGAATGTCACGCACGTTTGTGATTCAAGTAACTCATTATTGTGCATGTAAATTGTGACCAAAATATATTTTTAAATACATTTTGATTCGCAACAAGCAGGTTTTAGGAAGTTTACCAAAGGGAGACTTTGTACAAAATTCGTTTGCTTCGGCACCTCTGTCCCATTCGTGTTTCTACCGTAAAGCAGTTATGTTTGCATGGCTGTGTTTCGGTTTGAAGGATGGGATATGGCAGTGAATTTATAGGGTATAGGGAAATAACACATGAATCCTCAGGTATGGCAACGCATGGGGAGTATCATGGACGAAACAGTATATCCATAATGTGGAGCGTCAGCTTGTTTGCCATTCTAAGTTGCATAAAAAAATGATAGTTTAAAAATAATATCGAAATAATATTCATGCTGAGTCTGTTATGGGATAGGCAGAGAGAACTGAGTACCAAAGAGTCTTGACACATATGTATTTCTGTTATTAATATGCAGGAAAAGTGTAATGTGAAATTATAAGATTGCCTTCTTAATAAACCTTATTTCATTTTTTATTCGAATTTTTTTTTATAGAATCACTGGAATTAAATTTTGACTGATCTAATTCTTCTTTCTTCTTTTTGCCACACCCTGTACACTCAATTCATTAGACGACGAGTATGGTGTGAAGTATGAGTAGTTAACAATTGATTAAAATTTCCAGTCGCGTGCAACGGTGCCAACCCTAATAACATTACGGCGAGTTCCGTTCGCCACTAATCCGCTTAATTCATCGCTCGCAGGGTTGCTATGTCATCATCTTTTTTATTAGGGTTCCGTATGATAGCGAAAACACTCTTGAATCTTTTTTTTATACATCTTAGAATGGCAAACAAGCTGACGGCTTACCTGATGGAAAGTGGTAACCGTCGCCTATAGACATAAACAGTATCATGGACATAACAGAGTACACTGTTTCGTCCATGATACCCCCCCAATGCGTTGTCATTCCTGAGAACTCAGATGTTATTCCTCTGTACCCTGTAAATTCACGCCATATCTCACCCTTCAAACCGAAACACAGCCATGCAAACACGCTTTACGCTTGAAACACGAATGGGACAGAGGTACCCAAGCAAATGACTTTTGTATAAAATCTATCTTAACATAAAAGTAAATTTACGGATCAGCAATTAGTCAACAAAGATTTGGGGATACTTTGACTCGAGATGTGATTTCAATGGGTGTTTACTTGGGGTCGTTTGCTTTAAGTACCATTAAGTGATGAATTGGACAACGCTTGACTGATTCGAAGTAGGAAGGGTTTTTTTGGGTGATAATGAATTGGTAAACCGCCTGTGCTATCGGGGTACGCTGGCGGGGCATCAGTGAAGGATGATAGGTGAGGACAAAGCAGGTCAGTTGGCCCATCGTGACGAATTCAACAAGAATTGTTCACGAAGGTTTCCAGGGGGAACCACCTGGAGGCCAACCTAATAGGGCATATTGCTAGCAATGGGGCAGTCAAACTCCATTGCTAACAATCCCTTTCCCCCTAAGCAGGTCAGTTAGCCCATTGTAATAGATATACCTGGAATTCAGCACGGTAATTTCCAGGGGGACCACGGGGGGGGGATGATCTGATAGGACATATTGCTATCAATGGGACTGGTATTCCACATTACTAACAATCCCTTCTCTCCATGTAGGTAAGGTTACATCCAAAGGTACAGACTGATTCTAGAAATATTTGTTCCCCTTAGGGATATTTTAATTTCCATAAAACATAATTTATCTCACTATTTGGGTCTCAGTAAACAGCTAGTATGATAAGGAAATAAAAAAAACATAAAAAAATTACAACTTGACACTTTGTAAAATGTACACTTTTGTATAAATCGTGTGGGTGTATGTGAAGCGGCATACCAATTAGCTGTTATCGTGAAGGTAGGCGGTCACACGGCAGCGTAAATCATGTGATAAAGTATATAGGTTGGACCACGTAGGACCATGCTTTGCAATCTGTAATATAGGGGTGACGCAGATTGTTTTATATATAGCCGTGTCCCGCTGCTTCGCTTGCGTAAATCAATATTTAAAGTATATATGTCATGTTAAGTAAAGACATAACCTATACGTGTTTCATATAAATCCGTTGTATAGTTTTTGCGTGACAGAGTAACAAACATTCTCACAAAAACTTTCGTGTATGTATATATATACAAATATATACAAAAATATAGTAAATACAGTATCATATAAGCTGTGACATCAGTAAGGATGTAAGATCCGAGTTGGGATCACATGAGAATTCAAAGCACTCTAGCTAACAAATCAAACAGCAAAACCTACAAACTAGAATTATATCTGGATAGAACACGTAATAAGTACACGTAATAGTAAAGCAATATAGAATATGCCGTGTGGTCCCGGCATAGAATAGGCCACCCTTTCCTTTCCCCTGGGTGGTAACCCCTTGTAAGAGGTGATTAAGGAAGTTTTTGGTGGAGGTATGGGCGGCAGCGTTTTTCTTAAAATACTAAAAGCCTAACTACGGTTGCCAATCCTCCTGCCAAGCGTGGCAACTACTCGCAAAACTCCTCTTTTGGGCCTATGTTCAGCAGTGGATAATTATTCGTTGATATATTAATAATAATAAATATAAAATAGCAAATAAGCCAACGGTATGTCAGACGAAATATGGTGACCGTCACCTATACTTATGAAGAAAACCATGGACAACACATAACAAACAGTGGTACCCCTCATGCGTTACCATTCACACAGCCACATACAGTTCAAATATCTCTCTAGCAATATTATACGGGGACCATCAATAAATTTTTATTATACGAGATAAAAGAAATTTCCGTGAGTCACCGTTTAATCCAATTCTTATTTCCTATGACAATATTAATTTAACCCTCCCTTTCTGATTTATTCACATAATTAAAGGATTAAATTTAATTACTTTTGCTATAAGAAATTAATTATGTATCCGCATTCATAGTTAATTATTAATCTATAACGTAACGGAATAAGAACAAAAAAAAAAATATTTATTCAATTATATCATTCGATTAATAATAATAAAATCATAATAGTATGTTAAAAAATCAATAAAAAACAAATCAATTCAATGCTGTCGTGAGTATTGACGACGTAAATAACTATGATACAGTTTGACTCACGATAGTTATTATTCAACTAAACTGCTCGTTGCAAAGCAAAATGTCTAAATTATAAACGGAAATATTTTCATTGTGGGGTATCTGCAAAACATCTATCTAATTCATATGCCTTCAGAAACGAAATCGCTCATTTAGGGAATGAAATATATTTATAATAACATTAAAACATTTTCAAAAATACTCACCTTCTCGAAATGCTTGACTTCAGCCAACAACACGAAGTTGATATGAATGAACCTCGCATCTTCGCAGGACCTCGATTTTATTCTAAAGCCTGGCTTTTTATAATAATACCTATAACCCGTATATTCCGAATTGTCTATGTTAACTTTCAAAGCACCTTTAAAGTCCCAATCACCTCCGCAACCGTAGCAGAGGCCTTTGGTGAGAAACCTCTCCCATTCCCAGTGGCCTGTTGATCCAAATGTGGACTGTTTTAGGCCCGAGATTTTGATACCCGCCCCCGCATGTCTACTGCGGGGGCGGCCCGGCCATGTGCCTGAGGATTCCTGAGGCCTGAGGCCCGGTGGGGTCCTTCTCAGCTTCCACTCTTCGTTACTCCTCGTATCAACTGCCGGCCTCCATCTCCATTTTGAGATCACTCGTGATTTCTTTAGAGTTCTTTTCAGTTAGTCCTCATTCGCATTTGTGTAATTGTTTTTGTATACTTTTCGTCGTATTTTCTGGGCTGCATTTATGACTGTAATCATTTTTATTGTGATTTGCTTGATGTTTTCCGGGGTCATTGCTAGAGATGTGTCAATGGATATACGGAATAATAGCAAACGTCTAAATCAATACTTTTTAACGAACAGCAAACTGGTTCTAAGGAAGTTTTTAAAACCAAATAAATTTCATATAAGGCATTCATTACAACAGTATTAAATATATCTGAAGCTCGTAAGGAAATATAACGAACAACTAGTAGTCAGGTGATTGTCATTTATATTATTGTGAATGCTATAGAAACTGATAATCTGACTGATGATGATGTAAAGTGGTGATGCCTAAGCACATCAACGACAAGTGAGACGCTTATAGCACTCCGGATGAGTTACTGGTTATAAGGTATTTTAGGTATCTATATTACGTATTATAATATTTGTGTACTTTATAGTTAGCTACGTTCTATTCAGGTTCATTAAAATTTTAAACGTATAAACTCAAAAATTACTCAACCGATTTTAAACATTTTTTCACCTGTAGGAAGCTATATTATCATATATTATAAATTGTAATAGAATTGATACCACAGAACCCTGAGTCAAAAATTATTTATATTATAAAGTTTGGAATATATTATATACATACTACAAGTAATAAAGTGTCAGAGTATTATTCTATGTCCAACCCTACAAGCCCCGAAAACTTCAAAAGTAAAAACCGCTTACACGACAAAAAGAGGCTTTCTTTAAAATAAAACCGCAATACTTCGACAAAAATAAGCAACAAAACAGGCGAACTTTTATAACTTGATACTCTACTTATTAATTAGAAGCACGGTTGAAAGGAAAGCGGAGTCTTTCACTGAAATGCCTAAATCATCGTCTCCTCCCCCTCCCCCCTCCGGTTCTCGCCCCCCTGCCTTCACAACTCGGCATTGGAGGCCTATTAATCAAATAACTCTCTTGTGATTAATTAGAAAATCAGCAATTAGGATGAAATCGCCAAAATTAAGGAGGGCGTTCGATGAAGGGAAAAATCTACTTTTCAATTGGAGGAGGTATTTGTTGGGCAAAATACTCGTAAGCCTACTTGATAGTGGATTCATAATACCATCGCTTCAAAATTTATGGAAAGGACAATTCATCATAGATGCCTGACTATAGTCAGGTAGAAGTACTGGTTTAAAATTTTTTACAGTTATTTTCTCGGCCAAGATTTAGATTCCAGAATGCATAGGGAATTTTCACTATTACAAAAATTTCACATAAACTAATTGATGGCATATCTAATCTACGAATTGTAACTCACGATTCTTTGATCAAGTTAAAAATTTGTCGATGTATGTACCACATTTTAATCACTCGTTTAAGGATAATTGGGTAACAAACATCCAAACATCTTGACAAATAATCCCATTTATAAACTAACAAGAATTAGAAATGACACTAATAATACTTAGCCCTTACTCCATGAATGGATACTAAGCAGCTACTAGTATGTTTCATAGAGAATGTAATGGTCATTTTACCATCCAATTTAAACAACAATGTAAACCAAATACAATGTAAACCAACAAAGCAAAAATAAGATGATAGTGTCGCTACAGAGCCAACAGTGCCTCTTATTAACAAGGATTTCACGACTATAATGGAAACAAATCTGCCTCCCTAATCCATCACATAAAATAAGAAAAGTTTTCAAAGATTAGCGCAAATTAATCGCGTTTATTCATGTTTCAAATTTGATTACACTAATCCCTATGCCGCATCGGATTATCTTGGAACTTGGTTCCGAGGAGGGCCTATTTATAAGAAAGGAATTTGATACTGAAATCCCTGCACAGCCGATTAATGCCCTCACAGACGGGTTCAGAGCAATAGCTGTAACAAATCACTAGGATTGTATCGCATCATTGTTGACGGGGAATATGAAACATTGAGAAATTACTGGCAGAATTAGTTGTGCAAAATTAAAATAAAGTGTGCTGACGGTGGCAAACAAAAATCCGGCCTTGTTGACGTTGCATGTAGATAGGATTGCTGGCTATGTTTAAACTTAGGATTTTCTGTTATCTACTAAGCTAATATGTCAGTATATTCTTGAAGTAACTTATTTAATAGATACTTAGCATGCCATGCAGCAGTTGTGTTTGCATGACTGTGTTTCGGTTTGAAGGGTGAGATATGGCGTGAATTTACAGGGTACAGAGGAATAACATCTGAGTCCTCAGGAATGGCAACGCATGGTGGGTATCATGGGCGAAACAGTATACTCTGTTATGTCCATGGTACTGCTCATGTCTATAGGCGACGGTTATCACTTTCCATTAGTTGGGCCGTCAGCTTGTTTGCCATTCTAAGTTGTATAAAAAGAAACTCAAAATAACATTTCTTACGTACCGTTTCTGAAGTATAAAGTATTGTGCTTTCTGTGTATGAAATTACATCGAGTTCCTGATTTATAGTCAGCTCAAATGAGGGACAATTTGTGATAATGCTGACATAATTTTTCATTTTCTCTTTATTTTTGCTTCGTTTAATTATTCAACATTATTTAAGTAATGTTTTAGACTTAAGTCTAAAAATTACAAAAAGAGAAATTATGTCTACGAACAAAATACCATTATTTTGCGCTAGCTTGTAAATTAATGGTATCGCGAATACTAAAGCCCATAGTCCTCCCTTCGCCCCTTGAATCGGAAATAAGAACGGAATGCAACACAACCAATTAAAAATTCCAAAGAGAAATTCGTTAAGGTCAGTGCTTTTCAACAAAGTTTTACTTTGGGCCACAACTCTGCAGAAATATATCTTGACCAAAGACTTAAAAAACTTACATTGAATTTTATAATTAATTTTCAATAAATTTAATATTGTTTTATAGTAAATTTTGTATTGACTTTGAAGAAATTTATTTCGATTTGTAATAAATTTGTGAAAAGAAATGAAAGGAAAAGAAATATATTGCAAATAATGTGGTAAGTTGAGTTTATATTATACATTTTTGGGTAGCTTTAACGTTAAGCCAGTTTGGCATGCAACATTATCTTTTACGGTTTATAAGATGCGGGAATTAAAGATCCTTTAAATGAACTATGATGATCTACCTGACTTATCTCGACGTTTCAACCATGTTACATCGCCTATGGTCAGTAATAGTCTACTCGACTCTAAATTTCCATACAATGCTCAATACCCGTTTTTTATAAACCATAGAACGTGAAAGTCTAAAAGTTTATATCAATCTTTATTCCAAGTCGATCGATTTACAAGAAATATTTTCTTAATACATACTTTGCATAATATGACCAAGTAAAGTTAAATTAGGTAAATAAATTATATTAATATATAAATACCATATATAGGAGTATAATAACTTGTAGTAAATCTTCTCTGTCGAGTAAAATATGATGTGTTAAATATAGAAATTATGGGTTTATTAATACTTTATTATTAAAAAAAATGTTAAGCAGACCGCAACATAAGTATACTGATGTAGGCCAAGTAGGAATCAAATACAGTACAATTATTTGGAAGCACAGCATCCGGGGTAATTAGGATGCTTCTGGAGCATCGCCAAGTCTTGCTTTTAACTGCGTCTTGCAAGAATTTATATACACTTCAGTGGAAATAATGAGCACTTTTTTAATTACCTATCTCATTGAAATTGGCAATACTATTTGCCATTTTACAAAATTGTACTAGCACTATGGCAATGCCAAGAAATAAGCAAATTAATTATGATTTTGAATAGATAATATTTTAGTAAGTACCAGCAGATGTCTTTGAAAATTTCTAATAGTTGATGGATTTAGATTTTAAGAAAAACTAAATAGAAAAAGACTACTTTGTGAAAATTTCTCTTTTGAATATGTAAGTGAATATTTTATTCTTGATAAGTGAATATTAGCTACTAACTAGAAATTAGCATCCTGTCATATTTTAGAACTTTCAACAGCAGAAATACAATTCCAAACACAAGTGTTTATAATTGCTACATGTGCAGAAGTTTGTTTCTTAAACAATGATCCTCTGTTTATCTAGAATCTACAATCAACCTGGATATATGGATACTAAGACTAATATACGTGGGACATTCAGAAAGTTTTACGACACTAAAAAAAATGTTCTACAGGTAAATATATTTTTATTAGGTCTTTTCAAAGTACCCGCTATGATTTGTAAGATAAACGAGTAAAAAGAAATTGAAGAAAACTTTCTTAATTTTAAAATATAATAATTTTAATGTTATAAGAAAATACCAAATACAATAAAAATATCTAACGAGCTAATCAGATGGAACCAGTTCAAATCAGATGGGGAAATGATATCTGTTTCTGAAGCTGTCTTATTCGACCGAAGCAAATTTCCTGACTGCGATAAAAAGAGAACTGGAATCATATTCAGTTACAAAAATAAATATATTTAATTATTTCTTTTATTATTTGGAATTTAAGCAATATTAATAAAAGTACATTTTTTTTTTAATTTGTTAATTTCTTTTATACAAAGACTTTTCCTGACATTTGAATAGTTATTTTAAAATATAAAAGGGTTTCGTAGATTAAGACCGAACAAGTAACTTAATTTGGAGATCATTATTTCATATAAAAGGCATTTGAAATCTACATTGGAATAAAACGACTATATTATTTATTCATCTAGCAAAAAAATCCCGTTTAATAGAACCTAATCTCAAGAAATTCATGAGCTATTTGCTCAAGAGAATTTACCACGAAAATTATAACCGAAGGCATTTTTCATCGCGAGAAGCCTGGAACAAAATTCCATTAATATAATGTTGGTCCTTCGGACCGGATTTCTTCATTTCCGAGGGGGGTAACTAAACTGCTAGAGGGTAGACGCCCCTGGTAGTAGATATTTTAGTAGTTGTGTCGGGCTCGCCTTCAGTTAACGAGAGGAAAAATGGGATTTCGAATGCCGAAATGTGATTTAAGGGTGTT